GATCCAAGTCTGCTTCCCAGGGAGCCTGATCTGAAATAACAAGTTATCTATAATGCTGAATTGAACTGAAATGGCAAAAAAGCATGAACCTCAAAAAGCGTATTTCCTATAAAATAACCTAAGTGGGAAAAATCTGTTAATAAGTGATACCTACTTGTCTCATTACTATGAAGCTTCTCTAAGGAATCCCAGCCATGAGTCTGAACAGAACGAGAAGGACTAGTTTTCATGAGTCACAGACATATGGCAGGTCCTGCTGGAAGCCAAAGTGAAAGGCCCAAAATCATGAGGTATACTGTGGTCTTGTGCTGGCTCCATCCGCCACCTTCACCAGCTTCTCCTCAACCAWCACGTGGTTCCAGAGGCCTGACCCACCACGTGATTTTAAAGCCAGTACCATGAAGCCCTAAATCCAATTGCACGGTCTTCTGCTCCAGGATTTGACAGTCACTTAAACCATAAATTCCTCACTTTGCTTAAGCTATTTTGTTGAGTTTTCTGTCCCTTGCAACCAAAACAATCTTAACTCAGTTCTACTTGAGCTTCAGGAATGCCCACAGAGACAAGACCAGCTGAAGGCTTTTTCCCCATATTTAGGTATTGGCAGATCAATGCTGCCATATGCTCCTTTTCTTTCCKCCACTTTTCTTTAATATCGTGTCTGCCAGGATCCTCATGTGTGAAGTATGGGTTCCTGATAGACAAGATGAACCTCCCCAGCCGTCCCACCCTTCCTGAGCCCATCCTCGCAGTGGAATAGCCTTGAGTGTGTGTCCCCAGAAGGCGACTTCATCAATGACTTATAAACAGCTACTACAGTACTATTTTTCCATTGCCCTGTGACATTCCAGGGCTCTGGGGGAGGTGCCTTCCTGCTTCCTTGGACATTCACCAATGGGGTACAGAGGTATGGGAGCACAGAGCCCTCGGCATCTGCTTTTGAATGAGTCCCAAAGAAACGTCTTACTATAACCCCTTGAGCTGAGGGGTGGTGGAGACTGATCCTACTATAGTTGGCCCAGAGTGGGCTCCATCAGGCTCCAAAGCTGCCCTCCTGATAGGTGTCACTRTCCCGGTGAGCTCTGCCATAGTCACAAGGTTGGTGGTCTCTGTGTGGCATCCATCTACTAAAGAGGTTTAGATGTTCCRTGGCCCCCTGGTTACTCCAGACTAAAATGTCTTGTTATTTCCGCTCTCATGAGCAGACACTGAATGTGGATAACCCTAACTCAGCATCCGTGTGAGTTTTCTGACACCATGACACAACACTTGAGGTAATTCACTTATAAGGAGGAAAGGTTTATTTTGGCTCATAATTTCAGAGGTTTCAAGTCCATGGTCTTTGGGTCTGTGGCAAGGCAAAAGAGCATCATGGTGGGAGCACTGCTTACCTTATGGCAGCCAAGAGGCAAAGAAAGAGACAGAAAGGGGACAGGATCCCATTAGCACTTTAAGAGCATGCCCCCCCATGACCTAACATACTTCCGTGAGGCCCCACCACATAAAGGTGACACCACCTCCCAGTAGCACCAGAAATTTGGCAACCAAGCCTTTTAAGACATTTATCCAAAACAGAGCAGTATCTGCACCCTGCAGAGGCCCACCCCCATCCCAAAGGTGCCACAAATCAGTTTTCAAAATGTATCCTACTCACTAATATCCACTACTACTCACCAAATAGCCAAGACCTGATTTCAGATCATCTGCACTTGACTCTGTCCTGCTACTGAGATGCATGGATGGCACAGCCCTTTGCCCCTGGCCAAATTGTCCCTATAGTAATACATCTCTGGCCCCTACCTACCTTCTTCTCTGGTTTGTTATAAATAGGCTCTTTGTTTCAATTTCTTTATTTCACCAAGGGGACATGACCACTCTAAATGTTTACCTGGGTAAGTCACAGATCAAGTTGGTTCAGTGGGGTAGCATGTTTGGGGGGCGGGGCACCAAGTCTATAAGGAAATAATGAAAAAAGTCCACAGAGCCATGGAGTGAGTGAAGRAACTCGCAGGGATGTTTTTAAAACATGTAAGACAGCACCTGGAACAGCAAGAACACTCAGATGTCATTGTTAGTCATCATCTGAGAGCAGAAACTGTCAATAACAGCCTCCAGTGTAGCCCAGTGCAGTGGTGAACACCTGTAATCCCAGCAGCTCCGGAGGCTGAGGCAGGAGGATTGCGGGTCCAAAGCCATCCTCAGCAACAGTGAGGCACTAAGCAACTGAGACCCTGTCTCTAAATAAAATACAAAATAGGGCTGGGGATGTGGCTCAGTGGTCAAGTGCCTCTGAGTTCAATCCCCAGTACCAAAAAAAAAAAAAAAAAAATCTTCCAGTCTAGCAGAGGCCCCTCTAGCTGCCTACTCAACGTGACAGGTCCTGTTTTAATCCCTCCTTTACACTGGGAAGAAATGTTATGCCTGAAGAGAAGATCCTGCTGCTAAAGAAAAGTGAGTTACTGCTCTGGAAAAAACAGTCAAGGCCACATTGTTCTTCTCTTTCTGACTCAGGATTCACCTGACCACCGCTCATGGGTTCAGCAAAAGACACGGAATACACTGTTCATCAAGACCGAAAGACTAGAAACCTGTGGTCTCCAGGATTTTTTTTTTCCAAAAGCTCTTCTTAGAACTAGAAATGCTGGAAACTAATCATTTACAAAGCACTCCCCACACTGCTATATAAACTCAGCAATGCTTTGGCTTTAAACTTTAAGCCATCTTTTTAAAAACAAACATAAAAACTTTTTTTATATCTCTCTGGCAAACAGAATAATCTGAGTCAGCAAAAATATTTTTATAAAACGCACACATAAAAGACCATCAGACTCAAGCAAAGAAAAAAAAAATCAGTTGGTTTCCATTAAAGGTGCTGCCAGGTGAAAATTGGTTTCAAAGGCACTGGAAACAGAAACTTTGAGAACAGAATTTCAATTGGTTCAAACAGCCTCCTTAGAATTTGTGCAGTCATTAGTTACTCTGCTGAAGTAATAAAAGAGGTTTCTATAGGAACAACATGAGGGTGGTAATGGGCTGTGGTCACAAGAATGCTGAGGGTTCACAGACTCAGGCAAAGGCGTGGATACCCAGGGCTTGCTACTTGGCATGAGCTTAAAAGTGTCCTTTTAATGAATGAATAAACCCAGCTCCTAATACTCCAGAGTTTTCTGCTCCACAGGGCTCAAACCAGACAGAACCCAGAGGTGTATTTCTGCTCCAGACATAAGAAAAAGATGGATGAGTTCATTATTTATAAGTCACTGAATACTTTTTGGTAGGGAGATGTTGTTAATCAAACAACATCCAGTTTATTTGATTAGAGATTAAGATGATCCATAAATTCAAAACCTTCTTGAGATTAAAGGGTTCGCTAAAACATGACAGAGCTAGTTTAAGGAATAGACTTCATTAAATATTATAAATTCCTGGTACTTGGGTTCCATAACATCTCTAGTAATTAGAGAAATGCAAATCAAAACTAAGATTTCAACTCATGCCATCAGAAGGCAGTTATCAAGAAATCAAACAACAATAAGTACTGGTGAGGATGTGGAGAAAAGGTACACTTATACATTGCTGGTGGGACTGCAAATTGGTGCAACCACTTTGTAAAGCAGTATGGAGATTCCTTAGAAAACCTGGAGTAAAACCACCRTTTGACCCAGCTATCCCATTCCTGGGTCTATATCCAAAGGACTTAAAAACAGGATGCTATAGTAATGCAGCCACATCAATGTCTACAGCTGCTCAATTCACAATAGCTAAACTGTGGAACCAACATAGATGCCCTTCAACAGATGAATGAATAAAGACACTGTGATATATATACACAATGGAATATTACTCAGCAACAAAAGAGAACAAAATTATGGCATTTGCAGGTAAATGGATGGAGTTGAAGAATATCATGCTAAGCAAAGTAAGCCAATCCCAAAAAACCAAAGGCCAAATGTTCTCTCTGATAAGTGGATGCTGATCCATAAGGGGGTGGGGGGGGGGACGTGGGAAAAATGGAGGAGCTTTGATGACATGGAAAAAAATGGAGGCAAAGGGGAAGAGGGTGGGGGCAGGAAATGGTGGAATTAAATGGACATCATTATCTCTAGGTACATGTATGACTGTGCATATGATACGACACTACATCCTGTACAACCAGAGAAATGAAAAGTTGTGCTGCAATTGGGTACAATGAATCAATGCATTCTGCTGTCACATATACCTAATTAAAATAAATAAATAATGTTTTTTAAAAATGGCAGTCTCAATRTAGATCAGATAGTGAGTAAAGAAATGGAAGGAAGGGGTGATTGGGAGTTCACTGCTTTCCCCCGGGGGTGGAGAAGATGGGGACAGGAACTAGTCATTAAACGTCTTCCYAGTTGTAGTTTGCAGAAATGAGGGCTTTCTCTGTCTACCAGCACCCAGGACTACCCTGCAGGCAAAGAGACAGGCTGCTTAGGAAGGGAAGAGGGAAGGCCAACAAAGACACATGCCCAGAGTCCAGCCTTCAGGATGGCTAAGAAAAGAGACAAAAAAAAACCTTGCAGGTCTCCCTGAGAAAGACCACCAGGCAATCCTAACAGAGCTTACCTGAACTCTTTCTGGGTTCCACCTTACTGCTCTCTTCCACATGCTTCCTGTTTGCTGTGCATTTCCAGAGCCACAGGGGAACCTATCTCTAGTTTTCTTGGGTGAGCCTAAGAAACAAGCAGGGCTTCTTTCTCCCCAGAGGGTCAGATTAAATGRAATGTGAAATGCCTCACACAGTGCCTGGCGCATCACAGACACGCAGTAGATATGGGTTCTCCCCATTTTGAGAGTCCGTGGTCACATATATTGGATGTATTTCTGGAGGGGGAATTGGATACATTGTAGATTCTTCCAGAAGTTCACAATTTTCTTAACAGGGCCATTGAGGGAGGGAGGCAAGGGAAGGGAAAGAAGCATACTCTCTTTACTGGTGTYGGTAGTTTTTCCTCAACTTGGAGTATCCAGCACCTTCAGGCAGTTAAAGGTTTGGGCCTGATGCTATCAACAACCGCTGAGATGACCGCACCCGCAGCCTTTGCTCCGTTCATCAGGGCGTGCTCCACCTGCAAAGCACACCAGGCCACAGGGCAGTCAGCACCCATCCTAGCCTGGCACCCTCTGCTGCCTCTGCCCCACCATTCCCCTTCAGGAACCAGCCTGCCCAGAGTCTTTTCCCAGAGAAGGAACCAGCCCGTGCTATCATATATTTCCAAAAATTCTAGAGCTGCGAGAGACCAAGAGAGGCCAGGACTGCTGGAGACGGGCACCCAAGGCAGACAGGCTTTCTCTTGGGAAGCATTCAGGGGTCTTGGTCCTCATCTTCCTGCAGCACAGGGGCTGGCTCCAGGCGGGGCTTAGAGGCCACTGAGCCCTTTTTATGGGGAACCTGAGAGCCAGGGAGGGGAATTCACTTGGACAGAATTGCAATATATCCAAGGTTAGCCCTTGGCTGGGACCCCCTGACTCCCGGGCCCAGAATTCCTCAGAGGGCTTCAATCATGCCCTGCATCCTCGGGGGCTTTTCTTCACATACAAATGCTCATGGGATGGGAGATCCCTCGTATCAGAGCCCACCAAGACCCTGAGCACTGGAGCACACAGAGTGAAGCACAGGCGAGCAGAGGAGGCAGAGTCCAGAAGAGGGCAACCAGAAAGCACAAAAAGGAGCGGGAGCAGGTTGGAGGCCTGGCAGTGCTCACTGGGGGGCATGAGGACAGCAGAGAGACCAATCATAGGATTTGAGCCCAGTCAGTTCAGAGAACAGAAGAAACAGAAGAAATAAAAATGGAAAAATTATGATCCACCTTTAACCTTGATTTTTGGCATCCAGTTAAAAGGAAACAATACACAGTTCGTCGGTTCATCTCATGAGGTTTTGTCAAGGGTCAGCTACTAACAAGAACCATCCAGATTCTTACAGATACTTGGGCTTTCAAGTCTCCCGCACGTGTACTCTATTAATTCATCAATGCCCTGTACAACAGGGGGTGGGAGCGTCACACAGCCAAATGCAACAAGAGGCAGGCAGGTAGATAATGGAGAGGAGCAGGGAACACCAACTCCCACACACCCTTCAGAGCCACAACCAGGTCCTGCAGAGGCTCACTATGCAAGAACACTGGCCCAACCGCCTGATCAATTGGTTGTTCAAGAAAAGCTGGAAATTTTATTTTTGTTTTGGAAAAAAAATTAGATGGTATTTCTTGATATTTATGGTCTAATGAGCAAATTTATGTTTTACTTATCTCCTCAATTTTCATTAATAGGACCTGAGGATTTATCTCAGATCATTATTAAATTGCTATTTAAATAACGTATAACATTTTCACTAACTTTTATATGGACTTATAGATTATGAAAACCCTAAGATTGTCACAGCCTTAAATAAATGCCACTTTTCTAGTTATATATCAAAATGATCCTTAATAAAGTCATTAAAAATATATAAAAAAAAAGAAAAGCTGGAATCCAGACCTCTTTATGTAAAATGTCTAGATTTTTAAATGTTGGCAAGTAACTTGAAAAACATGTGACAACAACAGATCCAAGATGTGACCAGCAGTCTGCAACTTTAACAATTCAGCATCCGCCTCAAGTCTCAGAAACCGAGCAACTAGACAGAGACCRCCACCCTGGCTAAGGGCCGAGCTGGGACTCCACTCGGGTGGTGTTCCCATCAGCACCAGTGCTTTTCCTCCACCTCCACGGGGGAGCAGAGGTGCACATGCTTCCTGAACCACACGGTCCTGTAAAAACAGAAAGCCCAGCTGGCACAAATAGCATGAGGAAGCCAGTGATGGGCCACACTGATCCCTGATGAGTTGACAGAGCCCAAGGAAGCTCCACGGGAAGCCACCGTCAGACTAAGTGGGACCACACCTGCTGGCTCCTGTGCACGCCGTATCTGAGGTCGTTGACGAAGTGCTCACAGTTCCCTTCGATGAGGCTGTACTGCACGATCTTGTTGATCATGTTCTTSGTGCGCTGGATGATCTTGTCCACCGGCAGGGGCAGGTAGGTCCCGTCCAGCTTGTTGTTGATCTTCCAGGAACACCCGTGCAGCACGTCCTGCAGGCGGCTRTATTTCACGACTGCGCGGTTGCTGAAGACAGAAGTTATGCTGCCAACCTCAAATTCCTCACCTGGAGACCAAAAGGAAAAGAAAAAAAAAAAGTGGGAAAGCTGCGAGGGGGTGGGGCGGGGCRCTGGCTCAGCCCAAGGCTTCGGGAGGGGCTTGGATTAAATGAACCTCCAAGGACCACCTTTCCAGAGAAGCCTTGGGCCTGCACACTCCACTCCCACAGGAATCTTTTAATATCCTCTCCAGAAGCTCCTTAGGCTGTGGCCCTGTCCTGGCCAGCACTGACCTGACCAAGCCTGAGGACCTGAGTCTTGTTTCCTAACCAGAGTTCACTCACCTCTACCCTCTGGATAAGTGTCAGCTCTGGGTAAAGGGTGGTCACATTCACAATTACATGCCTCCGTCAGGTGAGGACAAGCGGTCACAGCTCTGAATGTCCACTTCCACCAGTGCCCACCTACATCCCCTGGGACTTCATCTCCACTCAAACATAGGGATTTTTATGAAGGGTTTTTTTGTTTGTTTTGTTTTGTTTTTGCAAATGGGCTGAAAGTCTTTGAAAAAGAGAGAGAAATTTGAAAGGTGCTGCCTTATGTTAATCCTCGGAGGAGACAGAGACTCAGAGAGGTTAAAGAACCTACTGAAGCCAGTGCATGGTCATTTAAAACCAGCTAGAAGACAGGATTTTGAATGCTCTTACCAAAAACAAATGATAAGTGTTTGAGGCATTGGATATGCTAATTATGCCAATACGATAACTACACCTTGTGTATCAAGACACCACACTGTACCCCATAAGTATCTATCATTAATGTGGCATATACACATAAAACTGGGGGGGGGAGATTGTTTTTTCACTGCAACTACTTTGATAGGCAAATCCATGTCCCCCCACCACCACCTCTTTGTAAGGTGTCCAAGAGCATGAACTGTTCCTCGTTCTTCTCCTCAGACAAGAGCAAACTTAATAAGAGCATGCAGTAGACAATTGAACATTCGGGAACAGAGATGGCAGAATTCGTTTTTACAGAAAGATCTGAGGGGGGTGCATAGTGTTAACCATTTCTTTGCTTATGCAAGAGGGGAGCTCGTGGACTGCGTGTGGAAAGGGGAGGTGGAGAGGAGTTTTTACATTCTTCAGTTAGGCTCTAGACAGGAAATGCAGAAGGAAGTGGGTGGGGCTGAGAAGAGAAGTGGCTCGGGAAAGGGGCTCTGCTCAGTGGTGAGGTCCCAGCAAGGTGAGAGACTGGGCCACAGCAAAAGGACCACACATGAGGATAAGTGTTAACAACAGGCTGCGGCCACAGGCCTGTGGCATGTTATTCTTTGGTAATTTCATTCTGAACAGTCAATGGGATACTAAAGTCAAATGTCCTCAGAGAGTAGTGACCAGTGACTTCTTCCCCCACCTCCAACCCTGCCCCCCAGGCACCATCTCCTGAGGCCACCCTGTGCTATTTTCAGTTTTAATTGTTGCCCCTTCTGTTCCAGTCCCTCTCCACAGTCACCACCTGGTCCCCTGAAATCTCCACTAAACTTCCATTCACCCAAGTTCAACGTGAGGCTGGAGTTAATGCTGCTTTGAGAACAGATGAGCCCTGGGTCCACATTTAGGGTAAAGCAGCAAGAATGAGGATGAAGGTGTCACAGGAGAGCTCAGGAGCAGGAAGCAGCATTTGGAGATAACGGGAAGGAAGTGACAGGTAAGCATCCACCACCACCCCCTCAGGGGTATCTGCAGAAATATGAAGAAGGATGCTGAACTGCTGTCAGTACAGAATGGAGGCTTGTGTTCCTAAATTTGTTCTCTGTAAAAGTGCTCTAGAGGTCCGGGGAACTAAGGGGACACTCTGCATTTGTGTCTCTCAGGCTGGACACTCAGTGGCTACTGGAGAACAGAGACCAGGCTCTACTTCACAGTTAATGAAGGTCCAGGAATGCTCCAGGGTGTTTTATTGCCAGAGAACGGCAGCAGCTGAGGGACACGGTAATTGACTGTACTTGTATTTATACTGATAACTTCAATGTCAATATTTCAGTCTTGTCTCCTCTCTTACTCGGAGGAGCCAGATGGACCACATAGTCATCTTCTACATAGATGGCCCAGTGCTCATAGCCAATTCGAAAAATCTCAATCAGGTCTCCGGGTCTGGGTCTTGGTTTGACCTGTAATTGGGGAGGAATAAAAAAAAGAAGRATAAACTGCACAGACCCAAGGAACTCCCAAGACCCCTTTTGGGGATGAGTGAGCTACAGTTCACATATAGATCCCCTCCCTGGAGTTCATCTCTTAACAGAAAGAAAATGAAACTGCAGGAYGCCCCTCTCCTGCCACCATCCGCAGGATCAAGCCGTCGGGGCCGTCTATGCAGGGATCACGCACTGCCTCGGCTCCGAGTGCACAGTCTATGCCTGTGATGAGTGGCTGGGCTACTTGAAGCACTTCTCCTTTGAATGAGCATGTTGCACTTTCGGAGGAGAAGGCACTGCAGGGGCACTGAAAGAGGGGGACCCTCCAGAGTTTGGGACCAGGGAAGGCAGGATGCTTGCTGGTCAGTGGTGTGATTTGAGGACCACAGGTAGAGCTCTGCCTCATCCCAGAACCCTCAGCCCTATCCACCTTGTAGTCATCACATTTCTGGAGTCCATTTAATAGGGAAACCAGGGTCCAAAGCCCTCCTTCCCCTGCCAGCACCCTGATTTCCTTGCAAGTCCCCTGGATGGGCCGCCTCCTCTGCATGCCCACACCACCAGGGGCTGGACCAYTCCAGGCCTGCTTGCACAGACCGCACACCAGCTCCAGCCTGGCAAAATCAGTGAATCTGTTATCAAGGGAGTTGAACCACATCTCCCCGACAAAAGGTCTGAGCCTCTTCCAAGTGTGTCCTTCCTTGAGCACTGTCCCTCGGCCCTGGGAGACCCTAGAGCGTGTCCTTGTTTCTTTAATCATGGTTTCACAATTCTTTAAATTCCTCCTGTTTAAACTACTACGTGGTTTCTGTCTCCTGATTGGATCCAAACTACTGGTAGACTATCTGTCAAAGAGGCCTGAAGGAGAGAGTGTCCATCTAACAGGCATTGTGTGTGTGCATGTGTGTGCATTTCAGGGAGAGAAGTAGAGAGASAATGAGGCCATGATGAGCATCCACGTTGTTAAAATACTTGTCAAGGGGCTGAGGTTGTGGCTCAGTGGTAGAGCGCTTGCTTAGCATGTGTGAGGCACTGGGTTCGATCCTCAGCACCACATAAAAATAAAAAATAAATAAAATAAAGGTATTGTGTCCATCTACAACTAAATTTTTTTTAAAAAAAAGTACTTGTCAATCACTCCTTCTGTGTTAGATCGCAGGGCACTAGGAATTTCCCAGAAAAGAAAATGGTACAATCTTTAATGTACATAGTGAGGTGGGTATGTTGGTGAATGTGAGAATGCATGTTTGTGTAACATAAATGTGCCTGCTTGTGTGTATGTGAATGTGTAGGTGAACATAGATGAAGATGCATGAATATCTGGGGGTCCATAAGTGTGAGAGTGGCTAAATGCGTTCACATTGCCTCGGGCTCCCCTGATAATGGATTTMTTGTAATAATCAGAGTTCTTTTATCCTTGTTATTCCAGTAGTTGTGCTCAAAAGCATAAAATTTCCCCCTAAATTCTTATTCCCAAGCTCCTCCTACCTCCCAAACTATGGCTGTTTTTCCAGGAGTCATCCTGGGAGGAAGCTTCTGCTCACCAAGGCCTGCCTGGGCAGCAGGTCAGAGGTATGAACTACTCCAACCCGCCTATCTGCTTTCCAATGGCATTGCTCCTTACCCCGGGCTGCAATGAGTTTCTCACTTAGTCTAATTTCCTCAGGGCTGTTTCTCTTCTCCCACTTCCCAGCCTGATTTTTCCTGGCTGAGGACAGTCGTTTGCCAGAGGAAGAATTTGCAGAAGTAAAAGTGGCTCTTGTACTTATTTCTTTAAAAGCTTTTATATCATTTACATTCCATAAGGTGTATGCATTTTAATTGTACAGTTTGATAGCTTTTATAATTCATAGTCTGTGCAGCTGTCACCACAATCCAGTTTCAGAACTGACCACTATATCCCGACGACGCCCCATGCCCATCTGCAGTCCTTCCTAGTTCCCACCCCCCAGACACAACCTATGCCCATAGCTGTCACTTCCCTTTCTCTCTACCATCCCCAACCCCAGCCCCAGGCAACCACTAAGCTACTTTCTGTCTCTGTAGATTTGCCTTCTCTGGACATTTCATATAAATGAGATCAGTCACACAGCAGGTGGCTTTTTGTGTCTGGCTTCTTTCACCCACAGTAATGTGTTGTCCCATCCACATCATGTCAGATATATCAGGGCTCCATTATTTAGAGGCACCACATTCTCCCTCACTGATTTTGTTCTTTGTTTTTGTCAATAGTATTTTAAGTATTCTGGGTTCTTTGCTTTTCCATACAAATTTTAGGATCACTTAGTAGATCTATATTTTTTWAAAAATACTTGTATTTCAGGAGAGTTTGCATTTAATTTATGCATGGACTTGGTAAGGGATTTTCCAACCCAGACATGGACTGTCCTTGCATTTATTTACAGGTTTTTTACTCTTCCTCACCAATAGTTTATGGTCATATTTTTTGTGTGTTCAATTTATTTTTGAGTATTTTTATGCCATAATGAATAGTTATTTTCTTAATTTCTCTTTCAGATGTTTTATAGCTGAAATATAGAAACACCATTGATTTTGGGGCATTAATCTTACATCCTGCAATGTACCAAACATATTTATTCATTTTAATTGCTTTGTAAGTGTGTTTTTATACAAACATCGATTAGAAGTGATGAGACTGAACATCCTCACCTTGCTCCTCATCTACTCACTTGCCATTCAATATGTTAGTTGCAGGTTTTCATAGGTTCTGTTTTTCAGGTTAAGAAAGATCTTTTTTTTTTAAGAGGATTTTTAAATTTTTAAGAGAATTTTTATCACGAATGGCAGCTAGATTTAGTCAAATGCTTCTCCTGGGTGTTTTAATCAGATTTTGCATTGCTGTAACCAAAACATCTGACAAGAATGACTTCGAGAAGGATAAGTTTATTTGTGGCACATGGTTTCAGAGGTCTCAGCCCATTAACAGCTGACTCGGGGTCCAAGGTGAGGCAGAACATCCTGGGGGAAGTGCCCAGTGGAGGAAAGCCACTCAGCTCACCTGAGTCAAGAAGCAAGGACCAGTGGGAGTGAGGAGAAGAGGCCAAGGGAAAGATGAATGCTTCCAGGGCACCCCMCTCCACAGTGACCCACCTCCTCAGGCCACACCCCACCTGTCTACTGTCAGTCCATTCAAACTAGGATGAACTAATTAGATTGCAGCTCTCATAATCTAACCATTCCACTTCTGAATATTCCTGCATTAAACAGGTGATTTGGGGGGAAAACCTCATATCCAAACAATAACACCGGGGACATTGAGAGGATCCTATGATTGTGGTCCTTTGCCCCATTAATGGTGTTTTACATTAACAGATTTTGGAGTGGCACACCAAACTTGCATTCCTGGGATAAATCTCACATTGTCATTGTGCACAACCTTTTCATGTGTTGCTGAATTCAGTTTGCTACAATTTTTCTGAGGATGTTTGCATCTATATTCTTAAGAGATAATAGTGTCCAGTTTTCTTTTCTCTGTATATCTTTGTCCTTCTTTGATATCAGGATAATTACTGTCTTCATAGAATGAGTAGGAAAACATTTACTTTGTTTTCATAGAAGTTTCTGAAGGATTGGTAACCTTTCCTCTTTATACATATGGAAGAATTCTCCAGTGAAGTCATCTGAGCTAAGCCTATTGTTCCACYCTCTGTGCTAGAGATTGAACCTAGGGCCTCAGGCAGGCTAGGCAAGCACTCTACCAAGCGCTACATCCCCAGCCCCGTAAAATTCCTTTCTAATGTTTGTAAGACTGGTGGTGAGTCCCTTCTTTCATTCCTGATTTTGTGAATTTGAGTTCCCTCTCTTCTCTCTCTCTCTCTCTCTCTCTCTCTCTCTCTCTCTCTCTCTCTAAAAGTTTGTCAATTTTATCTTTTTGAAGAACCTGGTTTTGGCTCTATTGATCTTTCTCTATTCCTTGTTTTATATTTCATTGATTTTTGCTTCAATAATTATTTTATTCTTTGTGGTTGCTTTGGGTTTAGTTTACTTTGTTTCTTTGCTAGTTTCTGAAGGAAGGAGATTAGATTGCTGATTTGGGGTCTTCTTTTCTAATGAGGGTTTACAGCTATAAATATTCTTCTAAACACTGTTTTAACTGCATTTCATAAAACTTCAAATGCTTTGTTTGCATTTTCATTCAGCTCAAAGTATTTTCTAATGTCTCTGCTTCTTTTCTGACACATGAGTTATTTAGAACTGTTTTAATTTCCAAATACTATGATTTCCCAAACTGTTATGATGTTATTTCATGTGATCAAATAAAATATTTCATATTATTTCAATCTCTTTAAACTTATAGACACTTGCTTTAGGTCTTAAAATAGGGTCTACCCTGAAAAACATTCATGTACACTTGAGATGAAGATATATTTTGCTGTTGTCAAGAAGTGTCAGGACAAGTTGGACTGTGGTTCAAATTTTCTACAGTCTCATTGATTTCTTGTTTAGTTGTTCTGTCCATTTTCAGTAGTAAAATATTGAGGTTTCCAAACTATTATTTCTGAATTGCYTATTTCTCCTTTAATTCTATCACGTTTTGCTTCGCACATTATAGGGTTATTTGCTGGGTGAGCAYGTGTTTTCATAATTGTTATATTTTTCCAATGAATTAATTTTCTGTCATTATAAACTGTCCCTTTTTCTGATAATATCCTGACACTCCTGCTCTTGSTACTATTTACCATCTTTTTGTATCCTTTTACTTTAAACCCATCTCTAACTTTGGATTTAAACTTTGGATGGGATACGACTCAACCTTGTGCTACTGAGTCAGATGACCTCTGCCTTTTTTGAAACATTTAATCCATTCACATTTAATCAGGTTGGATTTATGTTTGTCACTTTGCAATTGGTTTTCTACAAATTGTATGTCTTTTTTAATTTGTTTTTTTTGTTTGTTTGTTCCTCCAATATTCTTTTACCAATTTCTTTTGTATTAAATACATACATAACTTCCA